GAGACTGATGTTCACAAATGGAACATGTTCCACTTTTTTAAACCCTCTCATCTTGTGTTTGTTAATCCAGAGGATTATGAACAGCTGGTGGAGGACATAGTGCGAGATGGACGACTGTACGCTTCAGAAAATCACCAAGAAATCCTCAAGGTTTGCACTTTTATTATTTCTTCCAAATGCGCTTTGTTCTTCTCTTACAAACGTTTGGTGTAAAAAGTAAAAAGAACTCAAATCTGTAATGAAGTCAACGTCCAAACAGCGCCCTAATTCTCTTGCTTTGACACATTGTGGGTAAATATTGCAGGTCCCTTCACAGTGTACAGATGCCCCCTAGAGCAGGGGTGGGCAAAGCTCAAGGTTCGACTGGAGGGCTGGTCCAGTGTTGGTTGGATGTAGAATGCTGTGTGAAATAATATTTTGATGTCTGCTGCCATCCAGTGGTATCAACAGAAGCTACAGTCGAGTCATTGTAAAGGATCGACGTCGGTCTTTACCATTTTATACCAGTGTTTGGCGACCCAGGTTAGAAAGCCAGATGGGCCATATCTGGCCCACGGGCCATAGTTTGCCCAGGTCTACCATAACTTAAATTTTACTTATTTATGTAGCACTTTTTATACAATAAGTGTAGGACAAAGAACTATTGCAGTGGGTGAGGCACGAGGTGAGGCACCATCTTAGAAATGTGTTCACATTTATTTAACTGCTTATAACAAATGTCCAGTGTTGGCGCCGTTGTACTGAGGTCCACGGTGGAAGTTCAGAGAATGTTCACTCGACCTTTCTTTGTTTCCTCCGTTACAGGATAAGAAACTGATTAAGACTCTGTTCGATGTGCTGGCTCATCCAAACAACTACTTCAAGTACACCACTCGGGAGTCCAACGAGATGCTGCCTCGCTCCTTCATACGCCTCATAAGCAGCAAAGTCTATGCTTTCCTGCGACCATACAACTAGAAAGGTCACACACCTGCTAACGCATCAGACCCCGACCCCGACCCTGACCCTGACCCCCGCCCCCCTCCTCTCTGCCTTATAGGCCACATCTCACAGCTCCTACAGGGTTTAGGAAACATACATCATTCTATCATATCTCTCATTTACATTGGCTTTGATAATAAACACTATGCAGACCTGAAAATACTGCACATTAATAAAGGTTTAGTTTTAGTTTTTTTGAATTTTTTTTTTTTTTAATCATTTCCAGCGCAGGTCTGCGGTGTCGAGCTCAAACCTTCAGTGGGGATGTAGAATATATGAGTGGACTTGTTACATTAAACCAAGCCACGCACGGGGGGAGGGAAACAATACACAGGAGGGTGAGTGTGCAGTTTGAGCTTGATAGAACTTGTTATCGTATTTACTTAAATGAGTGGTCTGAGTTCCAACCATCAAGTATGTCTGTAAGTGTTGTGTAAATGTTGTGTAACCCAAATCTACGTCTGTGTGCTGTCCTCAAGGAGGAGCAGTTGTTGAACTCAATTATGTCGCAGCTGCATTCCAGGTCATTTAAAGCCTTACTTTATCTGAGCTCTTAGAGCGATTTCCAAGAGTTTTACTGTTAAAACAGTTAATTTGTGTTTCACTTTTTTTTTCTCAACCTTAGTATAAGAATGTCTGTTGCTCTTCTTTACACAAACTTTAAGCAAAAATGGAAAGAAAAAAAATTCAAAACGTCGGGAACACAGTGAACATTTGGGACATGATAACAAACTAATAATTTTAAGAGCCACAGAAATGAAATAATGTGATGTATAGTGGAACACGTCTCGATGAGAGAGAGAGAGAGGAAGAGGGAGAGACAGAGAGAAATGTCTTTGAGGGACATTATGTTTGCTGCTTCTTTTGAAAGGTCACTTTAATATTTCAATCTCATTTTGTCTTTCCGTTGTGTTTTACACACTAATCGTCTATAGCTTAATTCCAGGAATCACAAATATGACAGATACTTTCACACAGTAAATGAATAGTCTCACATTTGCCGGTCAGTGGACTTCAAAACTTATTGTGTTTTATTTCAATCTTGTAAATAATGGAATGACGAGGGTTGAATTCTTTTAATCCTATTTTTTTTTACGCAGGATGCCCCGCCCCCAATCCAAAAAATTGATTTTTTTTTTTCCGCTCGTCTCAAACCCAAAGACGTCCGGCGCCCCCTGCAAACATCCCATTCACATTTTATCGTGTCCCAAAAAAAAAAAAGACAGCTCTTCCAAAGACTGCCCCTAGAGGGCGGGTCCAGTCGTTGTGTGCACTAGTATTAGAGCCCATCATCTTACTTTTTAAGTACAAAGTGCAATGAATGAAGATGACACAGTGGGTTTGGTTGCACACTGTTGTGACCCACAGGTTGTGACCCACAGGTTGTGACCCACAGGTTGTGACGTGTTAGTGTGGGCTGCAGTCTTGTCGAGACTCGTATTTAATATGTGTCACTATGGGCAGAATGTGTTTAGGATTCCCAGGACTCTTAATCGGCAAACGGAGGAAAAAAAAAACGTGAAAATGAAAATGTGATTTTAAATATGATATTTGGTGTTTTGTTTTTTTTTTAAGAAAAAAAATATATGTATGTTGTGATTTCGTAACAGTGACCAAAACAGGGTGAAATATTTATGTTTAGTGAATCCCAGCACTGCTTCATGTTGTACCTGGTGAAGTAGTTAAAGGAGAAATCTGTCTGTTTTCAACACAGCACTTGAGTTCGAAGAAGTCGCAGTATTTTGTCGGTACGAAAAAACAGGAACATTTGGTTCTGTATACACTCTGTTGTCCTGATCATAGTGGAGGGTGGGGTGCGCTGAAAAGGAGCGCTAATGGTTAATGCTAGTCCACTTCAATTCTTTCAACCATTACATATATATTTCAATATACAGTCCATTAAAAGACACCTGTTCATGTTGCATTGCACTTGTAATGTTATTTTGAGCAGTGAACTAGCATTGAAAAAAAAATCTTAAGCCTATGAAGTGTGCTCGTTAGAGCTGTGCTGCATCTAGTAGCCAGTATTTACGATTAGTATTTGTAGCACGTGAACCAAATGTTTGTGTTTTCTTGTACTAATTTACTGTCTTTAAACACCAGCGCTGTGTGATGAAAACGCAGTTCCCTAGATTAGAATAGAGTCTTGTCGTTTTGGAAAAAACACTTCTGTGCTTATTCGTCTGCAACGGTTTCATTGGTCGTGTCACGTCTGGATAAGAAACGTACTTTGTGCACAAAGTGTGGAAAGAGACGGACGTTGTTGATGGGAGAATTACGCCCCGGTATAAAGAAATCGCGCCGTCTACAACCATTAACCACAGATTTGGTTAATGATTGGAATTAAATTCGAAAAAAAAAAATCGACTAAAATTACAGAACCATATTGTCAGATCCTCAATTCAAATCCAAGTATCCCTAGAACCATTCATGTTTTATCAAAGTTAATTTTCTGAGACTGGATGTCAGTGCCATGAAATAAAAAAAAAACACTTCATGTCCAATATATCAGTACACATCTTTTAAATATCTAACATGATTTACAGATTTAAGCACATGAATCCCACCTTCTCTTCGCCCCCCCTCCCTAGCCCCGCCCCTCCTTTTCTGACCGCAATCATCAACCTTCCTTCCTGCAACCTGTAGTTTTTTTAATTGTTGCCTTTTAACAAGAGTTTGCTATGATGTATCATAGAGTTGATAATGATATTTGCACTTGAATTGTTATTGCTCATGTAAAGAAATGTCTGGATTTTGTATTGTCTTTTTAAAAAAAAAAAAATGAATGGAATTGGTGTTCTTATGTTCTCGTAGCTTGTTTGTTCATGAAATGTTCACTCACAGTTTAGTCCAGAGATAGAGATGAAACACAGACGGTAACAAAATGTAAAAAATGTACAGAGGTGAAAGAAACAACGTTTGTACCCGTTACTGGCCAAAACGCTTAAGGAAATAAACATACTGTACTTCAGCTTCATGTCCAACTACTTTTATTGTTTTTACCGTGACGGCTGAGGAGCAGACTACTGCTAACAGTGTGATTACTTTTCCAATATACAGTATGTGATCGGTTACTTCTTTGTTGATATTTTCCTGCCTTAAATGTCAGGTGACATCGCAGCAACAGCAGTGATTCTGAAAAAAAAAAACGTATGTAAATACAAAATGTTCTTGAATGTCTGCAGTGATGATGCATAAACATGATGTGCACTTACATTTTCTGCTTTTACATTCAGGGAGCACTGGTGACCATTGGCCATCGACGCCACAGGAAATTGCGCTGGGACCAGTCAGAACGTAGCCCTGGGTGCAACTGACTGATATGACGTCTCCGTAGTGATGCCAGGGATAATGGGAGTGAGTCCAGTAGGCGTTGGCCACGTTTGGAGGAGGACAAGTCCTCCTTAAACTCCTGACAAGTCCTGAAAAGAAACGAGGGAGGGGTGGGGGGAATGTTCATTTTCATAATGAAAAGACTGCAGGAGTCTCATAACGTTCAGATGTTATGTGTAGTACCTGCGCAGTGAGGAGGGGGGGCGCTCCACCTCCCATTTTCGGTGCACCAGATCTCCTCTTTTCCCACCAGTGTTCCACTGGGACACTGGTAGTGGATCACATTCCTGTAGGTGTGAGGAGGCTCCTGGAAGTCGCTCCGCTCTGCATTGGTTTTCTCAGGTTCGTCACACACCACAGCTGAACAAGACAAAACTGGTTCAAACCAACAACCAGGACATTGAAAAAAAAATGTATTTATTTTTTTCTTTTTGGATGTTACCTTCACAGACAGGAATACGTCCGTCCCAGCCATTACTCAGACAGTTCCTCGTTTTCTGTCCCACAAGAACGTATCTGATAACAGGAAACAGATAAGGCACAGTTTAAATAAATGAAATTAAAGCTGCCACCCATTTATTTTGGGACAAAAAAAACATTCTATTTTCCATCTACGTCGTACCCATTATTACAGACAGCTGTGGCCGTGTCTCCAAACTCTACTCCAGTGTAGGAGAACTCTCCATTCAGGATCTCTCCTGCTGTACCGCACATCTTGCCTGTAAGTATGAAGAATTAAAGCAGACGTTGTGAACCTGACAAATATAATTATGATTAACACTTTTGTATGTGTGAAGTTTTTAAATTATTTATTCATTTATCGCCTAATCTCTTTCAGGGTCATGAGTGGAGATGGATGAAATCCCAGTGTTCACCAGAGGAGGGCGGGATAACTCCCTGTACAGCTGCCCAGTCCATCACAGATACACATACTCAGCATATTTAATAACCATTCACACTCACATTCACACCTGTGGTCAACTGAGAGTGAACGTAATCCCCAATTTTCCTGTTTTCAGACTTTGGGAGGACACAGAACCAGACCACCAGTTTAAACCAGAGCTTGAACCTGTGATCTTCTCCAGGTAAGGTATACATATAAAGAAGAGTTTTGAAATGATTGATTCATTCGTCGTCTATTGCTTGATCTCTTTCAGGGTTGTGAATGGAGATGGATGAAATCCCAGTATTCACCAGACGAGGGCGGTATGAACTCCCCGAGCTGCCCAGTTTATATATATGATAGAACTACAGTTATGTTCTAGAAATTGTTATATAACTTACGTTCACATCTCATGAACAGTCCTGTCCACTTTCCGTTCCTACAGGTGCGGTAGCTGCTGCCCCCTGCTGGAGCATATCCAACATTACACATGTACTGGACTTGGTCACCAGATGAAAAGGTCTTCCTCATCATGTACTTCTCTGTAAGGTCTGCATTGGAGTTTTTGATTGCTGCTGGCCTCGAACAGCCCCCTGCAGGAGGGACTGGTAAGAACAATTGCCATTTAATATTAAACCAGGTATTTCCAAGTACAATAAAAATGCAAAAAAGAAAACAAAAAACCTACGTTCTACGTCGTAGAAGGGCTCCTCGGTCGACATTGGTAGAAGAATACACCGTGGAAGCTTGGGCTGCCACATGCCAAGTGACCCACATGTGATGTGTTCAGACCCAGTTAGATGGAAACCTGGTCTGCAGGTGAAGGTCACTTTGTGTCCAACTTGGTACGGAGGAACCTCTCCACCAATCATGACAGAGTTGGCCACCAAAGGAGCAGGGCAGGTTATTCCCTCTTCTAATGAGAAGAACATTTCAGCCATTTGTCCCTCAGTGACGTCACTAACAAACAATTTACCGAGTGTTTTTTGTTTCATGCTGAAGTGATGTGGTGTGACCAAAGCAAAAAATGATTGGGGAAAAAAAATCAGAAAAGGAGAAAACATACAGATGTAGGCCTGTGGTTTTAAAAGTCAGAGGAACATCTCCATTAGGTGGCGTCAGAGATTTTTGAGGCAGACCAAAACAACATCTAAATTAACTAGTTGCACAAAGAAGGAATGGATGATTTGATACATGTGCTGTAAGAACAGAGAGTGAATTCTGTAGAATCCCACCTTCTCTTCACCCCCCCACCCTTTCTTGACCCCTCACCCCCATTTCTGACTCCAATCATCAAACTTCCTTCCTGCAACCTGTAGTTGTTTTAACTGTTGCCTTTTACTAAGACTTTGCAGTGAGGTATCATGGAGTTGATGATGATATTTTTGATGGTCTTAAATGTGGTACCTGCGCAGTGAGGAGGGGGGGCGCTCCACCTCCCATTTTCGGTGCACCAGATCTCCTCTTTTCCCACCAGTGTTCCACTGCGACACTGGTAGTGGATCACATTCCTGTAGGTGTGAGGAGGCTCCTGGAAGTCGCTCCGCTCTGCATTGGTTTTCTCAGGTTCGTCACACACCACAGCTGAACAGGACAAAACTGGTTCAAACCAACAACCAGGACATTGAAAAAAAAATGTATTTATTTTTTTCTTTTTGGATGTTACCTTCACAGACAGGAATACGTCCGGCCCAGCCATTA